TAAACATTAATAGCATAGACAATAAATTAATATATTACACCATGATTATACCTTATTGTTAAACTTCTTCAGCGTCAAACCAAATTTTATTAAGATATAATACTAATATTGAAATACTAATCAATAACATCGAAAGATGGTCAACAAAATTGCTTAAATAAGTTATATAGACTTGCATAAATTTTATGGATCAAATTCAGATACTTGAAAAAATTAAAATTAAAATTTTATATGTTAACCTTGATATTTTTTTTTCATTTATGAATATATTTGGTATACATATTGACAATTTCTAACCGATATATCAAAACTTGATGTTCACGTTTTTTATAAAATTATTTAAAATCTAATTAATCTATTTTTTTATTTAATGATGACCCTCGGCAACAAGGYCGTTGGGGTTGTACAATTTTATTTATTTTCTTAATATGTGTTATAGTGTTATAAACTTATAACTTATGTGATAATGGCAAATACTAATATGTAATAAATACATTTTATAATAACAATAACAATAATAATAATAATAATAATAATGCTTAAATTAAATTGGGCAATCAAATTTACTGGAGGATGGAGATGATGTTGAATAACGCCAAGTTTGGTCCGATACTTTCGAATATGTCTTCGAATAATTTATTACGGCTATCAATTTTTATACTCTCTTATTTGTATCAAAAAAAAATAATTTTAGAAATATAAATTTGTTGGAACTAAAAAATTGCTAGCTAATATAACTTTTTTTCTTGAGTGATACATGTATTGATATTGTTTAGTAAATTATAATTTATAAAACATAAGATTAGTTAGAAAATTTAAAATACGAAGGCATGTGTTCATTCATGTGTGAAAATTCGAACATCTACATAAAATAATCAATACCAATCATCAAAATAAGATAACAATTTTCTAGGTATATAATTTGTTATATTAATATATCATGGATACAAGCTAACTACGTTGCCAGTAAAACATTCTAACTCTTAAATGATTTAGACTTTGTTCAATTCATTATAGCTAAGTTTATTATTTAAAAACAGAATTTTTGTTTATGTGAATAATAATAATGTACCTACTAGTATATTATTTGTATTCTCTATGAAATCGTAGTGCGTCAGAGTGGCTAATACTTTTATACACAATTATAATCTATAATCAATGGCAACCATACAACAAAATATTCGATTTCTATTTGCTGAAACAAAATCTTTGTTTGTTTTTAAGATGTTCTAAGTCTTTAAAGTACGAATTCTTAAAAACCCTTTCTTTGCGTGCACTTCCATTATGAAACGAAAATATTGTCAACATTCCAAGGATATTATAGCTTAGAGTCTATATTTTGATTTTTCTCGGTCAATCAATCATTAAGGATAAATCCTGACCTAAAGAATTTATAGATTTAATTTAATAAGTACTKTTATGGTATGGATAAGTAAAAAACTTTATTATTAAATAAGAAAAATAAATAAAATAAATAAATATAATGACTTTTAATTTAATTTTTGTGTAAATGTAAACAAGTAACATAATATGATCAAATAAAAMAATGACTTATGATTTTTGGATTTTATTATTATATAGGTATTACTTGGTATGGTATATCAGTACAATATATGTTTTAAATTATTTAATATTTATGTGCGCAAGTAGCTTCAATTGGACATTTAGTGGAATTAAACATATTGTGAAAAACCACATTAATATTTGTTTATTAGAATGTGATCAAATAGGTAACAGTTATTAATGTTATTATAAAAAAATGCATACTTATTCATTACAATCATGATATTGTTTAGGTAAACAATGTAATGTAATACATTTATAATATATAACAATAACAGCATTTGCTTTTCAACAAAACAAAAAAATTAAAATTATATATATTCAATAGAAATAGAAATACTAATTGTGATATTTACCATACATTATTTAAACACATATTTAATATTTAATTAGTTATTTTTTTAAATTATTTAATGTAATTTGTTACTACTTAATCAATGAATTATATACTGGTCAGATCTTGAAACTAAACTTTTATAGCTGTGTAGAAAACATTTTATTTTTTTCAATTTATGTTTTACGATATATTAGAATGAAACTAAATATTTTACAGTGAATAAACGGAATAATTAATGCGACACCCATAAATAATAAATTAAACAAGGTTCTGCGTAGAAAAATAAAACTCAAATCTTCCTTTAATAACAATTATACGTATATGTATCGTAATTTCTTGTGTAATAAATTCATTATAAACATCAATATTTAAAGCTATTCTTGTTTTAATCTATAAATACTTCAAATAAACTAGGCATTAATTAATATAATTTTAAGGTTTTCAGTTAAATATTTTTTTTTCGTAATTTTATTTAAGTAATTTATTATTCTAAAAAAGCTGTAAAATGTGTTTTGTTAGACTTAAGATAATATTTTAATAATAAATATTCACTCACCTGAAAATGTTTTGCTGTAAGGCCATATTTTTTATGTWTAATCCCAAGATTTGTAAGTAATTTTTCTAATTCTTCAGGTTTGTCAAGGTGATCAATAGTCGAGCCCAATGCAGCACCTACTTTCGATGCATGTGACATAAACTGGGGATTAGACGCAAGTTCGTCTATTGATAAGTTCTTAAGCCGTTTGAATAATGATTGGTACTCAGGATTTTCTTTGAACAACCTTACGGTAATAAATATTATTAAGAACAGTATACGAATTAATTTTATATAAAAAAAAAAAACATGTACTATTAGAACTAATTTATCTGTATGCACCTATTTATACAAAAAATAAAAATAAAAATAAATTTGATTGCCTACACAATTATTATAATTAAAAAATTACTGCCAACAATTTAACAAAGATTGAAGAATGAAATCTATTTTAATAAACTTTTTCTTTTTTCTAATATTTCTTTTTTCTAATGTTTTATGTAGGAAGTACTACATTTTAAGAGTAATACTTCCAAAGTAAAATATAATGTTTGATATTGTGATTTATAACCTCGACTTGTCATGTTTAATGTMATTGTGTCAATCAAATGCTGGTAGTCGTTTCAACAATTGTAATCCCAAAACATGAACCAATTATTTAAAGTGGTGAAATTAATAAGCTTAATAATACTACAATGGTTAAGACATAAATACTAGATTAGTTTTTAAAATATATTTCATAATTGAATCAAATATCAATTATTAAACACATGTATAAAAAATATTTATTTAAAAGCTATATAGCTCTGTTATATAAAAGTATAAAATTTGAATAAGGTATTTTTTAGTCACCTAACAATACCGTGCTGAGATATTTATATAAAATATAAATGTTCTWAAACGGTTACTTTTTTATACATTTCCAGAAGTTCTCAAAAAAAAAAATCATAGTTTTATATTTGATTCACATCATATTATTGATTCATTGATTCTTCCTATAAGAATTACATATTGAACTMAAAACTTTAAAACTTTAAAACATCAAAATAGTTAGATTATAATATATATATATATATATATGTATTTGTTTTTTTTTGATGGGTCATAAACTTATCTATGAGTTTAAAAATATTATATTTGAATTTATGCATAAATAGGTACCTGATTACCAATGCCGACGCTAACTGGCTCGGGTCTTGTGCAAGCACTGACCATGAATCTTTTAGTTGCAAAATTTGAAGAGGACTCAATGAACTAGCCATTTTATTTTCAAGTGTGCAATATGCTTGGCGACTGTTACCGAAAGTCGACGAAACGTAAATGCGTAACGTTTCGAGACAGACTGAAACAGTTGTATGAACTGTACCTACTCTTATAAGAATCCACTACGCACTGTACTCGCACACACGCACAATCATACACACCACGCACAATCATACACACACACACACACACACACACACACACACACACACACACACACACAAAAATTATGTCATGTATGTTTGAACACTTGTAGGCACGTCTAATACTTATTCAGATAAGGACCGTTAAATGTATTTCGATCATATACAGCCATACAGGAGCATTGATAGCACTATTAAGGAGTTTTATTTTTATAGTTCCTCTATAGCTTATTATTAAACTTCACTATAGACTTAATTGGAACTGAAAAAAAAAATCAATCGACACTGCTAACAGTAGCTATAAGGGAGTCGAAGAATAGTTCATTATATACACGTATATTCGTCCGAACCATAAATACTATAATATATAGTGTGTAACAAATCATAAAGATTCAATTACCTAACCATGKTGTGTGTTCTATTATATTGTACTTACTGAAAAATGGGATTACTCTAGACAGATTTAAACTTTTTAAAATTATTCTAAGTAAATAATAGGCTTTTAAAATAATGAAAAAAATATACCATACTCTTTAAGTATATGTTGAAATCATATTGTAGAAGAATGGTCWTTGAGTTCATTAAAGTTCCCAATTTTTTTAACAGTTTAATGTTGTTCGGAGTGATATAAAAAATGGAATGACATCAGACACGGATATTTTTTCAAAAAATAAAATGAAAAAAAATAAAAATATCATACTTTTCTTTCAAATATAGCATAGGTAATTAATTAAATATTTTGAGAAACTAGCTTTTTTTTGCACTTAAATGACCACATATTATGGGTACAATTCTTAATTCTTTATATTTCAAATACTTAATATTTTATATTGAATTGCATCAAGTCAAAATTATAACTTTAATACGACCACTTACTCTTTACTACCATATAGTAACGTATGATTTGGATTTTTTGTCTTAATAGTCTACATCCATGTTTTGTAATAATTGAGAAAAATTAACAGTAAAATGTGAAATTTAATCACTGAAATATCACTTCCGATATTATACTTATCATACTTTTTATATTAGATATGCATATTCGAAATATTACCGGTTGGATTCCATAAAATTCACTTTATTTTGCCTTGTCTCTTATTTGTACTAAGAAAGACAGATACTATTTACATATTCTAGATCAAGATTAATGTGTTAAAAATCTTTGACGGATATTAAGATTGGATTAATCGACAAACGTTAATTAACGGGAGATGGTTTAATTCAATTTATATTTTATAATTGTTCGATAGATAATTTAAAACAATGTACAAAAAAAAAAGTCATTAAAAGATTTAATAGAAATAAATCAGAGGAACTAYATAGGAACCCTTTTTACCTTTTTTTCCGTTTAAAAAACAAGGAACAGGTGAGAACTGTTTATAACAATACTGTATACAAGGTGCCGATCGCTTATTCACCAACTTCAAGACATTATATACCTTGCTTTTAGATTAAAACCATGATAACGATATTATTTATGTTTAAAAAAAAATAAGATTATTATGTCATCTTTAATTAAATGTAATAGGCGTAATCTTTACAAATAGATAAACCCGACAGTCAAAAGTACAAATAGGTGTGCAATTTTATGATTAATACGTTAAAATTCAAATACAAATAAAAGTTGAACTTAATTTTAGATTCTGAGCGGAGCAATTATTTTATATTATTTTTTTTTTTTTGTGCCCGTGTACACGATAAGTTTTCGTCATAATCCTTCAATTTTAAACTTCAGTAGTTTTTCCAGTTAGAAAATGAATCTATTTGGTGTATTGGGGGGACAAAATTTTGAAATTCCCAGTAGTTTTTAAAAGCACTGAGAAAAACAGAAAAAAAAATTAAATAAAAACGGGAAGTTTTACGCAAAATAAATTTTTGATATTGATGTAACTCTAAAACAAATTACCGTAGACACTGACATATTTTCATTGAATGTTTGACTGGAATTTTCTATACTTAATACAATTTTCGAAATATTTTAAATCTTTTCAAGTTATTTATAGATATTTGAAATGTTAGATCTTTTTAGTTTATTGCTTCAAAATGTAATGTAAGGTTCTTAAAATATTGTTACAACGACAGTTAAAAAATATTTAAAATACATAGTCACAATTTTTTTTTAATAAGGGTTTAAAGTTCAAATTTTGATCAACTACGTGCAAATCACGAAAATTTGCAATTTATTTTAAGTTAGAAATTCTTAAAAAATTTTCTTTTTAAATCTAAGATTTGAAAATTCAATACAAGATTCTTCATGAGTTTGTATACTTTTATCAAATAAAAAATATGTGCTGGAAAGGCAAATTAAATTTTTATGAACATTTGAATTACAACTACATTGGATATTCACTCAATTTCTGTTGTACCGATATTGTTATTCAAAAACAAATAGTTCTAGAAACTTGAAATTTACACCAAATGTCTATTTTATCAATTCCTATACTTGATAACATTTTTAACTTATTTCAACTATCGTAAGTTATTTATAGACATTTGAAATTGTCCGTTTTTTATTATTTTATTCCATAAATGTGATTACAATTGTATTTAATGGTTAATGGGTCAAAAATCTTGAAAATTTAATCCAGGGTTCCCCATAAATTTATATAATAGCAGTTGGAAATATTAAAAATAAATAGGAACCTACTTYTTTTTTCATCTATAATCAWTTAAATATTAAATTTTGACAAAATTTATAAAACGTTTAATTTTTATTGTTATGGATTGAAAATTAAAAACAAAGTTCCATGCAAGTAGTTAATTTTGTGGCAAAAAAAAATTAAGAACTATACAAACATAGTTTTTTCATAATTATTTTAAGTTCGAATTTAGATGAAATTACCTATTAAATAACCAAAAATAACAATTTTAGCTATACYATTGTAATTTAAAAATATTATTCGTGGGTGCTTTAAATTGTATATACCTGTTACGAATGACTGAGTGAGGCGTGTGCATAATGAATTTGATTGAATTAATTTGAAATTTATTTGAAATTTATTTTATACGTACCTACATTTTTTATTTTAAGTAATAGCATTAATATAGAATAAAACTATAAAATATCCTTGACAGACAACCCGTCTCCGCTCAGAATCGTTGTTCGTATACAATGATATTAGATATCATTGAAATCAAATTCAATAACATACATCACAGTAACCCACTTGTAAACTATTTTACAGCAGAGTGACATCTACTTACCACCCTTTTTTTAGTTTTGAACATCACTACACTGGGTATTAAGTAACGAAAGTAGTTATACAACGTTTGAATCATATAAGTGATGTCATATAGTTTACGGAGGACAGCTATCTTTTAGGTATACATTATTATACAAATATACATACGAACGCGTTTCGCAGCGTCTTACTTGATGCAAATTTGAAACTTTAGAGTTAAAAATTGTACAGGTTGGACTCACCTTTCGGTGTCAGAAAGGTATAATAATAATAATATAACCCGACAAAACACTGCTCGCATAATTACAAGCGAGTATCACGAGGAACACCAGTCGGAATAGCTATAATAATATAATATAATCGAACGTGTCCTGAATGAATGACAGACTGACTGATCAACGCAGAACATAAACAATKATAGCTTGGCGCTTGAAATGGTCACTGTACCTTTGAACCACCATGTAAGTGTGCAAACTTAACAATAAGAAAGAAAGAAAGCATTTTCCAAAATTCGCATTTTAAAGTAGTGCTTGGCGCTTGCACAAGAATTTTGAAATTCAAGATGACCGATGAAAATTTGTTCACGAAGTGACATCTATATTAGTGCTAYACATAAACTAAGATATTGGTTTTATAGTTTGCAGTGTAATTTTATGAAATTGTGCATGTGCAAAACGGGCAAACCAATCAGATTCAATTTAGTATTAATCAGTGTATAAGCCCAATAAAAAATATTTCCATTCTCTTTTGGGATATTACGGCAACACTGGAAGCCTAAATATTATACATAGATTACAGATGTTTATAAAAAATAAAACTACATTTGGCTTAGAGTATCAGACCTCTTGTTCATTATGAGAACTCTACATCCGTATACGTTCTGAGCGTGTGTGTGCTACTGCCACATAGGTGGTGTGGTCATCGATCGGCGGAGACTGAGGTACGCGGGATTAGCGGTCTTATCGMACCACGTCCAATGTGTATAGGTTATTTGCGTTGGACGTCACAACTTGAATAATATAATGATTAATAGTATTATGTCCTTTTCGCATTAAATGATTGGTGTATATTTTGATCAATACATTATTAGATGCCCATAGACGTAAACGTAACCAGAGGATGACCGTACATAGAGCCCTCGACCACTCAATTTACTAATTTTAAAAATGCTACGTCTGAAGCCCACCATACTTTAAGGCCTATAGTCACGCCTATGCAGATGCCATCACTTTTCGGAAGTATTATGACTGAATTCTATTTTCTCGGAAATAATTATTCTTTGAGCTGCAAATAATAACAGTGATGTGTGTTGCTCTCTGACGAATAATGTTGGCATGTGAAGTCAAGACTATTATTTTATAGATAAGTATAGTAGTACTTTTATCCACTAGAGTGTAGAGTGTACATAAGTCGTAGTTTTTCGTATTTTACATAAGTGTCACTTTTTTTGAGTTTTATAGTTCTAATAAATAAAATTTTCAAAACAGCACAATGACAATAATTAAAATTTATAAGAAGTTATAAAACATAGTTAACTCCAATTAATAGTAAAGGACTTCGTGACCCACATTTAACAGGATCTGGATTATTATTTTTACTTTTTACATTAAACGCATTAATTTCGAAAATACCTCATAGTCTCATATACAAGAGTCCTAATTTAACAACCCCAAAGAGTGTTCTCGAGATTCCTATTTTTTGCGTTAAGAAAATGTTTAAGCTTCCCAAAGGAAGTTTGCACRATCACGTAAATAATTATAGCTATAACTAAAACTAAACTAATAGGTATTATATTTTATAGTAGATAAATATTCTTCGATTCTTGTTGTTTCAAAGCGCTTTTGAGAAAACATTTAAAAACAAATTTGTGAACTGTACTCATTTAACACCTTTCAGTTCTAGATAATTTCGATAAATTTATAAATAATGAGCTTTAATTAAAATGCAATGGTAACATTCATAAAAAGTTTTTTTTTTAACATGAATTTGACAACTTTTGGTTTTTTGCCCATTATTTATAATTATAAACAATATTCAATTTTACATATTTGAGTATGTAGTTAYACTATACGTACCTACAATATAACATTTAGCACAAAAAATATTACAACATTTAGTATGGACCCGCTAGCCAACGTCGTTTTTGTATCTGAGTATMTGAAGTCGCAAATCAAATAAACGTGAGTWGTGGGTAAAATCAAATACTTTTAAGATAGTAAATTATTTACATCGTAATTTATTGTGGGTATGATAATTTAATAATAGCTAAATAAACCAGTAGATGAACGTTGCGCAAATCGTCCGTTCACTTTTGTCAATAGATAGCGCTGCCATTATTGTTTTTGTATTTTTAATCATTTTCAGATTTTGAGTTATCGACTAGAGTTATCAAAGGTGTTCGAGTCCGGAGATTAAACTGGCAGAAGGACGAAAGTAGCCTTTGTAATTTGTACCAGAAATTATTCAAAATGTTAGTTAATAAGTATTATTCATTCTTCAACGTTATATAAATAAACGTCTCCGTTTAAAATGATTATTAATTTTCGAAATGTTATCATTTTCATGTTGTAACGTTATTTTATTAAATATTATTATACAGAGTAAATTTAGTTTAATTTACATTATTTTACTACGTTCGCTTAATAAATATATACATTTGCTATCTATATTTTATGAAATTATTCAAGTTCGATTTTTTCAGATTAATTTTCTCAGAAAAACTTCCAAACTACTTAACTACTGTATGTATTCKATCAGGTTCTTTTATRAATTTAAGAGCACACTACGGTAATAAACATAGTTTAGAAAACCCTACCTCTGTTCTTGAAATATTCATCGATGAAATAGGAATATTACACCGGCGGGTGGCGGTGATATATGATCAAAAACACGCAACTGAACAAGATTAATATTAAAGAAAGAATACTTTCATAGAACGTCAATTTTATTTTTTATTTTTTAGTTATTTTTAGTGAGCATTATTTAAAATCGTATTAATCACTTTTGGGCTCTAGCAATCTGTTTTAATAGTTACCGACAGAAATTAAATATTTTTATGCATTTTCTTTGGTTACCTGCTTTTGTAATTATCGCATAATACCTAATGAAATAATAATTTRGTTGACATATTCGAAGAATGTAGAAAATAYCAAAAAACCAGAGAAGAATTAAACATAAGCCACGATATTGGAGAAAGTCTAGATCCAAATCCTGAAAACGAAACAAAAACGATAAATTTCTTCAAACAATCTCAAATAATAAAGTAATAATAAGTTAACAACAACAATTTTCACATGTACATAATTATAAGACACAAAATGTCCAAAAATGTACATATTTATTTTGTATATTAAAATTAACAAATTTTTTTTTTCTTTCTTTCTAATTATAAAAAATTAATCCAACGCTAATGGCCCATAGTTGTCGAAGCGGAAATTCTTTGTAAATTTCAAGACCAATAAAAATAAAAAAATAAAAAATAAAAATAATTTGGTTGAAAGTGGAGCTCAATAAACTTATTAGTCTATATATTTTTCATAAGTTTAAATATTTCAGACTTGAATTAACTRGCTTGAAATTATTTCCAGGCATATATGAAAAAGTTCGTTTATATCTAYGATTTAAGATAGTATTTTATCTTAAATCGTGATCAGATTATAAATATGAACAGTTATAAACATAATATGGTAAGTTCCAATGATTATAATAACTAGGTTGTGATGTGGGTGGGAATTTTAAAGCTTGCCCCAAACCTTTGAAATCCATCGATGAATGTGTATGGTACCTAAATTTATTTTGAAAACGATATAGGCAGTAGGTATACTATATTGCAGTGAGGTATCTTCCTAAAATATACTAATACGAAGATTTATCTTTAATTATATGATTTATTTATTTTTTATTAAATGGCACCAAACACAAAACAGTAAAATCAAAAAAAAAAATGTAAGAATATAACATGATTTATTATTTATAGTTAAATATTATATGCTAAATTAATATAATTATGTTTGATTATATTTTWAAAAAAATACTTAATTCTAAATAATATAATGTTATATGCTTAAAATTTAGTTGATGACCTAGTCCAGTGGTCGCCGGTCGGCAACCTTTTTTGACGGAAGAGCCAAAAGTTACAATATACAAATTTTTTCTGACTTTAAAGAGCCACTAAAAATTTTCATAATATTTTTAAATTTTAATAGCTACAATAATACAATTTTACARTAATTAATTAATCGGTTAAATCAAGAGCGATTCATTAAGATCAAAATATATAAAGAGTTACATCAATGGGAATATTGGCTATGCATGTCTTTTGAGAGTTTTGTCTGGCTCATAAGTTGTTGTTTTAAGAATCAAATTATTRTTATGTATTATTTCATATTTTCAAAAGCACCAAAACTAATACAATATAAATTATATTATAATATTATAAAATATTGTTTTTGAACATAATAACTATAAATTTTTGCATGGGAACTGGAGAGTCGTGACTTAAGATCCAAAGAGCCGCAGGTKGCCGAACCCTGACGTAGTCATATATGTATATTAAAATWAAAATAATACCTGTAAATAAAAACATAACACAGTAAGACTTGTATATTAGTAAGACAGTGAAGAATGATGCACCAAAACACTTTTAGTAAAACAATTATCTTTGAAATTAATTTATGTATGCCATTAAATTGAAAGTAAAGATGATAAACATATAAATACATAAAAATCATGTGAAATAAAACTTAAATTAACTATAAATACCTAATAATAATAACATTGCACTTTCGAACAGAATGTTAATTAATTATACAGTTATTATAAAAATTATAAATAAAAAAATTAATACAGATTAACAATATTATAATAATTATTAGATTATATACTGCATAATAATAAAATAAACGGTTCACCCGGCTACGATGGTCGTTTAAAAAAAATGTACGTATAATAAGACCTTATCAGATCATTAAAAACAATAAAAATAAAATGTAATGTCCGTTTAAAATACAAAAAWACAAAATAATGCCCACTAAAAAGTAGTTATCCGGTTAGCTATAAAAAAAACCACGATTTGCATGTTAATAATAACTCATTTTCGACGTGTTATAGAAAACAATAATAATTTATCATATCATATAAGTGAGTGCTTGGAACTTAACGCCATTACGATATATTATTTCGCCGGGTTCAACCACGCAAGTGTTGTAGAGAAAACGAATCGACTAAAAAAATATTTCTAAAAATAAAAACAATAACATAACGGCAATAATCGCCACCATCGTTAGATTTCTGGATGGCGATCAGAACAAAAACGGYTGTGGTCCAATCGCGTTGTTGTTTCTGCCCTCGTGGTTCAATGCCAACACCTTATACACCACATCCAAGTCTCCTGGGAGTCTGGGCACTGACAACCCGTAACCGAACGTCTGCGGTTGTGGTTGCCTAAGCACTCGCTGTTGCTGCAGCTGCTGCAGTGAGTTTTGCTGGGCAAACTGTGGCAGAAGCACCAACGGACCGTCGCCGAACTGCAGTTGCTGTTGTGGAACGAATCGATTAGGTTGCTGCTGTCCTTGGACAGTTTGCAGTTGCAACTGCTGTGGCTGTGGTTGTTGCTGTGTCTGGAAGACCACAGCCGTTTGCTGCTGCTGCTGTTGTTGCCGTTGTTGCTGCTGCTGCTGCTGCTGCTGCTGCTGCTGCTGTTGTTGTTGTTGAAGTTGTTGTTGTTGTCGTTGTTTTTGTTGTTGCAGTTGACGTTGTTGGACGATCTGTTGCTGTTTTTGTTGTTCTTCGAGCACCGCCCTCTGCTGCAGCTGTTGTTGGAACCTCAACTGTTGTTGTACGGCAAACGACTCACGCTGCTGCAGTMCTTCTCGCGACGGTGCTGACTGTAGCTGTTGCTTCGACAGYTCGACGCTTTTYAGGAACTCCAGTTCGTTCCTGTCCGGTTCGACCGTATTTCGRTCGCCACCGTCACCCGATTCCGCCCGGGTTTCCAGGGCCAATATCTTCTGCCTTTCCAGCTGTCCCGGTTCCGTGAAAATGGGTATGACGCGTCGTGGGACGCCCKCTGAGTCCTGTTGCACCGTGAATGCCGTCAGTAGGGGTGCTTCGAAAAAGTCGACCACGGTGCCAGTGTCTGTGGACGGTGCTGTGGACGCGGCTGGCGTCGTACGCAGCGCATTGTTTGGCGCTTTGTCGTTCGAAATAGACTTGGTGGCGCTGGATGAATTGGGCGTTGGCGGCAATAGCGTCGGCAACAGCGCTGGTGACGTAGGCGCAGCTGACGTGCTGACTGTTGCCGTCTTGGACGAGACTGATGTAAGCGACGCTACCGTCGGACTAGGCAATGCTTCGGTGCGAGTGGTCAACGCTGCCGTCGAAGTAGGCAACGCTACTGTCGGCGTCTGCGCTAGCGTAAACACTTTCTGTTCTTGTTGCAGCTGTTCCGTTGGCTCTTTTACACTGAGTTGCAATGGAAGTTGTTGCTGGTTCTGTTGCTTTTGCAGGTCTTGTGACTGTAGTTTCAGCAATCCTTGATCTTGCGGCTGCTCCCGACTTTGCTCTTGGTCCTGCGACAGCTCCAATCTCTGCTCTTGATCCTGTAACTGTCTTTTCTGTTGATCTTGTAATTGTATTTGCTGTTGGCTTAGTATTTGTATTTGCTGTTGATCTAGTAATCGTATTTGTTTCCGTTGATGTTGCTGTTCTCTTTGTCTTTGTTGTTGCTGCTGCTGTTGTTGTTGTTGGAATTGTTGTTGTTGTTGCTGCTGCTGTTGTTGTTGTTGTTGGAATTGTTGTTGTTGTTGCTGAAATTGTTGTTGTTGTGATTCGACTTGCGCTTGTTTTACTTCAGTTACTCTATCCTCTTCTTCCAATCGATTAAGTACTTTAAGCAAAGCTTTACGTAACTTTGGATCTAGTTTCACCGGCTTTTTGGCCAGGTCGTTAATAGACTCTGCATCTAGAGAACTAGRAATTCCCAGTTGTTGTTGCTGATCTGCCCAACAAGAACCGGTGATTAAAAGAAGCACACATAATGATGATACCTATAAACAATATATATAAAAGATTTTAGTTACCTAATAGTTACAAGTTTACAAAAAAAATACAATTTGACAAAAAATATTTAAATCTATATTATGCACAAACATAATCTATAAATTATTTAAAATACGATAGGGTTTTTATTGGACACAGAAATATTGACGAAATCATTAGATAAGTTTAAAGAGAAAAGCAAAGGTRTAGATTTTGAGAAATGTTGATGATTAAAGAAATTTTGTTGCACGATTTTATGTTCAACAAATCCTGATTTTTTTAAATCGATCTGTTAGCGCGAGAAAGCATATTATTATTGATCAATGAACTAAGTTTATTAGAACARTATGGAATAATTGGAGTCGAAAATTTTGTGCAGTAGTTATTTAATCCAAATGAGGACTTATGAAAATAAAAACATTTTTTTTATTAATAATCATATAGTATAATATCTAACAAGTGTAAAAATATTGAAATCAAACATTTTTATTCACAATTAATGTTTACTGATAATATATTGAAATAATAAYAAAGTATTTATAGTTTAAGTAAGTGGATGTAAAATATAATAAAATTAAAACATACGTTGAAATGTATTACTTGATTAAGAAATATTTATAGTTTTTATTTGAGTATCGGTAATAAATAMATTTTTATAATACTTTGCGTTTCACGTATCAATTATATTTAAATATTTCGATATTTTAAATTAAAATACAAGTAAAAATTATATCKTCTTAAAAATATAATTTATAATTAGTAATTTGTAATTATTTAATACAGTTGATTGTTGATACTCTAATATTCATTTCTAAATCATTTCTTAATTTTTAAAAAGTTTTAAAATATTTTAGGAAAGTTCTAATAAGTTGTTTAAAAAGTAGGTACCTATTTTTTAAACAAGTATGTCATWACACGATTTTTTTTCATTGAAAGTAAACATTTATTATTCATAACAACTTAAGAATACCCATATGTAATATAGGTAATAAGTATTTAATAGTTTTGAAACGTGTATTGTAATTTATTTTTGTGGTTTATGGATAGTATGGAGTTGTGGAAAAATTAAAATTTAACCGTATGATTTATTRAGTGCTTCAAACACATTAGATACTACTGATACTATAATAGTTACTCGTATGTACTTGCATATGCATCATGCATATCGAATCAGCACAGGAGGAGATGATAAACAATACTTTTCATACTCTCACGTGCATAATATATTGGTAATTACGGGTATTTTACACATCATTCAACATATTATTTTCACATTGCTTTCAATAGACTCGATTAACGAATAGACGATTAACGATTGCCGGTAGGTATTTATGCAGTGTGTATACACATATTATACTTGCATATTTTTAAAAATTTGTGAAACATAAATCGTGTGTGAAYCGTAAGAAAATCAAAACAAATAAAATTTAGTCGATGACTAATGGAAAAAACAAACAATTTAAATTACCTACAACTCATGGCTATTATATTAGAATTTATAGACCTATAATTTTATCATACGCTTTATGAGATATTTATATTGGAATCCTACGAAAAAGATKTCGAATGAYATTGCATAATTTTTACGATTGTAATAAATAATATTATAAACGTACTAAAAATGCATACAAGACGTAGTTCTATACACCTACTATTTTATTTTTATTCAGTCAAGACTTCAATATTTGAGGTCATTAGCATGTGTTATTACTGCGAGGRAGGTWATGGTTGGTTAGAACATGTGTATRTTTTGTGAGGATTTGTCACTAAAAACCACTCGGGTGTTCACACATCCGGGAACTAGTTACATTGAATAATGCTTGACTTCAGAACACGTTAGAAACTGAAGTCAAAAACCGAGCTATATATACTATAGGCCTTATACCATCCATATGAAATACTGCAGTATTATTATCTTAGCTTTTTAAAAAAAAATTGTTTTTCAAGTTCTTATGTTGATAACCGTTAAGTTGTTGTGTATAGGTTGTAGGTGAACCTCAATTTTTCAACAAAATCGTATGATACCATAATTATATTATAACCGATTAGTCCTCACACTACAAATACATGCTACCATTATGTGAATCAATGAAACTTTCTAATAGTAAAAATAATTATCCGTCGAAGAAACCTGGCAATGAGAAACATAGAAATAATTTAGTAAAGAATATATGCATGACAATTGAAAGGGTGGTTTATTAAAGTAAATAAACATGGAATAATCAAAAACGAAATATTCCTACTTTTTTCAAGAAAAATTATACTTTAACTTAACGCGCATTAGATGTTTTACCATAAAAAAAAGTTGCTAAAATATCTACTAAAGGCAAATAGATATTCAATTAAACGGGCTCCACTTAAGACAGTTTGACGCACCTATACAATATATTACATATACTGTCCTGAGCACAYGTGCTTATAAGTCAATAACTATAGCACTTCTTATACAATAGGTATTATATTTGTTCATAGTTGGACGTAACTATATTCAAATATWTTCAACGATACATAGGTACACTGTCTTATATAAAGTGTAGGTATACTGCTATAACATTTTARTCTGTGGTGATATATTAGTTTCCGCAACGTTAAGTGGTCCGCTAAAAAGAGTGCTCGACCACGGAACTGTACAAACACACACACACACACAATAAATTATACACATGTGTAATATATAGCTGAAAATACCATTGTAATGTACCGAGCCAAGTCGTATTATTATTGTACAACATGGTATAATATTATTATCATCATCACAGAGGAGCGCCCCGAGTCCTTTTCCCCACTTGACAGTCGGTCGTTGGTTTTATTTATTTATTATTTGTACTCCGTCTCGCGAGGCGGCGCGTGGAGAAATCACCCATATATGTGCGGTTGCCTATTATAACATAGGTACGATCGCTCGTTTTGTTTACTCGACGGTCGTGTGCGAAATATCAAGTCATGAACTGTTGACCCGTCTGCGTAAAGACATGACCTCTCCGAGGCGGCAGAGGCAGAAAGCGTCGGAGTGAAAGCGCGTGTTCGGGTTGGGCWCTGTGTTCTCCGTCAAATTCGTTTTTTGATGCAACACGTCGTAATTCTGATTTATCATAATAATAGTAATAATAATAATAATAGCAAATAATACACCATCGGACGCGTCCGACGCGGGTGGCGAAATCGTAACGAAATATTTTATATTCTTTTTTTTTACTTTTTAATTCGATATCTATATTTTATCTATGAATCCGTTTTGCGGTTGACGTCTAAATATTCACGTACCTACCGCTAAACAATGTGTTCTTATGCAGTTATGCACGCGGTCGAGAAAAACGTGTAGAAGCTATTTTGTATTTATTTTTTTTTATAATAACGTTCGGGTGGAAGAGTCCGTGGCAGTGCCTACGATGATATTATTACCTTTATTATTATAACAACACGCGAGCACGAAATCAATGATTGTGCACAATACCACAATAGTACTACGATACTATAATGTATTATATCAATAGGTATAATATTGTGCGATGATATCTATACATCGAGACGACCGGAGAACATGTCAGAACAAGGTAATATTTTTAATCCTATGGGCCTATCATAAATTATAATATAGGTTATATTTTATTATCGTATACTGAAGTCTGCATATTATGGTATACAGTGTTATTATAAACGATCGTTGACATAATAAGTTCAAGCGGATAAAACTAGATAATAATATAATATTATTGTAAAGGAAATAAATAGCATCGTATATAATAAGAACGTCTAAACGTACCTGTGATGTGTTTCATTCCAGATATTGA